TCATTTATTATCATTTTTTTTTCATTTATAGATGCTTGATTTTATTATTTAATATATTGTTTACATTTATAGAACTAATCCATCTATTATCTACCCACATATTAGTCAACTGTATCTCCCACAAACTCCTAATAGCCGATCTTTAAATTTTTTGAATTGAATATTATAAACGTGGATGAAAAAAGAAAAAATATAGTGTTTGTATAGTTATTTTCATGTTTTTTTTTTTTCCTTTTGTCATTCGTTACTATCTTATTTATTCAACACATTTTATTTTAAAATTCCATTTACTGGATAGAATTTAATTTTTAATTCTTTTTATTTTATGTATTTTATCCCGTATTTTATTAGCTATATAATTACATACATATTATATTATACTAGGTTTAAGGTTAATTTTTGTTTTAATTCAGTAAAAAATTTTTTTTTTTAATTTCTATAAATACAAATACTTAACACTCTAACTCAAAGATGATAGGAGTTGAAAAGGTGCAGACAAGTTATAATAAGAAATTTCGAATGAAACACTCCTACTTCAATAGTATTGTTCAGCTTAGATAACAATCTTATAGACGGAATTTCAGCGAAAGTAAATATATATACAACTCCGAAACCGCAAAAACTCTGTTTCTCATTGAGTCATAAAAAAAAATTAAATAAAAATTAAGTTGATTCATGATTTCAGTACTTCGTTAGTAAGTATTGTCTCTATGCAAACGGTTGGGTTATGCAAGCAAGTAATAGTAGGACGGTACGTTTACGTTGTGAATAGACCAGGCATGGTTTCTAAGTAAATCGATTTATTTATATGACTTATTCATCAGAAGGTCATTGAATGTCTAGGTCTCTTCATTCATTATTTTTTGTTTTCGATAAAACATTCATGATGACGACAGTGTTGTTCATTTTACAGCAAACTGTAAACATGACTTTATTTTTTTAAATAAGTAATTTCTTCAAATCGATTGATGTTTTATTTGAGCTCTTGTATAGAACAAAGCAAGGTGGCCTTATCATTTTTTTGTTCAGCTAACGTATCGGAGGCAGTGAAGACTTTATACGTAATACATGTATTCATAATGTCTGTTAAAAATGGCATCCAACATACAGAAATATACTATAGGTACATGGGTTAACTACAAGATTTCACTCCAGGTCTCCTGGCAAGAGTGTGACTAGAATGGAACTGCAAGAGTGAGTAGTCCAGAGGATGGGGGTAATATTCCCAGGCATAGTAGAGGGGTGAAGGAATTCTGGGAATTCTAAGGAGTCGGCTGCTTATAAGGAATGTGCTTCAAAGGAAGTTATCAATAATTGATATTCTTAAGATGTCTATGGGAAAAAGCTGGCGCTATTAACTATTGAGAGTTGATATCCTTATCCTTTAGTATTGAAATGAGATCCGTGAGAAAGGGCCTTTTGCTGAAATCTGTTATTGCTCCCTAAGTCTTGATAATTTGTCTTAATTTTTTCAGTCGGTACCCTTTAGATAACTATTTCTAAGCCATCTGAGTAAGCTTGACCTAGCTATCTAGGGATAGATTTTTCCTTTTATCCATTGAGTTATAGAAATTGTTAATACAATACATGGTTCACCGATTGCCACATTTAGCAAACTCAATTATTAAAATAAAGGTTAAGTTAATTAATTAATTATTTGTTACGCACTAAGCCCTTTCCGTAACTGTAGGCTTAAGACTCTTATTACATAATTTAATACAAAATACTATCTCTTCTTCAACACTTATGATAAAACTCGGCTGAGAAAATACGGAAATTAGATGTAAGCAAAATGGTTTCGAACACGGTGAATAAAAAGCTGATTTTAGAATAGAATAACCTTGTACATTATGCTATCATTGTTCAACGACATCCATGAATTGGAAGTAAGTAAAAGATAATATTTTATGGCGTTAGAAAAAACACCTGCAAGAAAACATATCAGAGGTCCTCAAAGGCGTGAAGCTCAACGAACTAAATAACTCTAAAGATTTTCCAGGAGACTTACTTTATCATTATTTCATTGCCTTTTCGCTTTATCTCCAATAAAACAGCTTTAATATATAATGAGATAAGGAATAAGATTCAATGAACTGAAGTCTCCACATCCACTTCGTATTAGGTTACTATAACCAATTATCGGATATTAGAAAATATCAAAGTATATTTATCAATTGTTTATTTATTTATAAGAGGGATAAATTCATTCAGTTATTAAATAAACATACAATTTACCGCACCCTTTATTATCACTGTCTGAAGGAAAGATAATACGATTTCCTTCAGACAGTGATAATAAAGGGTGCGGTGAATTGTATGTTTATTTAATAACTGAATGAATTTATCCCTTTATCCCTCTAATAAATAAATAAATAAATAAATAAATATATTGATATATATATATATATATATATATATATATATATATATATTATTTGTTTTTGGGGGATTCCCCATACAATTGTGTATATATATATATACAATATCGTAAGTTTTAAAAACAAAGGGAGTAGGGTTGCTAGTGGTAGGCTAGTGAGATTCCAATGCTAAAAGTCCCAGGTTCGAATCCCGGCTCATGCCAGAAAAAATATATATTCTGTTTCATTGGCCATGGGACGACAATGGATAAGCAGACCCTCCTGCGGCACACCCAGCCTCTATAAAGTAGGTACCCTTAATCAATTAAGGGAGAAAACCTGGCGGTTGAGCGAGATCTCGGTCAAATCACCTCTTTACACAACCGTAGACCAAGAAACAGTGCTTTCTTAAATAGTACTGAACCCAAGACCCTTCATGTGTTTATTTTTTGAATAGTTTTTTAAAAACAAATTATTTATTTTTTCAAACAAATAATTATTGATTACAAATAACAACTAAAAGTTTTTTCAAAACTTATTCTTAATTGAAATTTTTGTTGCAATGTTTTTTTCTCCCCTTTTCATAAAATTTAAAGCATGTTATGATGAAATTTTTAACATATCGTATCTTTCCATATAGCTTTTTTTAAATTTATTTAATTTATAATCTTATGGCATTACGACAAGAACAAACGTTATTGAAATTACTTGGTTGATATATATGTTGCAAACCTCTTGTAAAGTTAGAAAAATCTACAAAAATCGTATTTACTAGTCTTTTTTTTTTTTAATACAGGTTGGAGCTGTTATGGTTCATTTTTTTTTTAAATTAAAAAATAATTTAAAATAAAATTTCTATGGAACTTATATATAATAAAGTTCTTGATTTATGGTTTAAAAAAAAATTTCTTTAAAAAAATTAGGTCAAACAATACGGAAACATTAATTGGAATTGGATTAAAGTTATAATTTATATTAGATAAATTACTTGATGCTTAAATGATTTTTGTCTAAGTAGCTAAGAATAAAAGACATTATATTAGATCGACTTTTTTAGCGAGATCGACAGATCTTATAATAAGAGTTTTTTTTTTTTAAGTTAAAAGTTCAATAAAAGCATCACTTGAGAAGTTACTACGAAAAGAAGTACTAGTTACTAAATAACAGAAGACAATTGAAAATAAACATTCCATCCAAAATAAACAGAACTGATTTGCTTCTTATTTTTGATATTTCTGATCTGCCATCGATAGTAAGAGATATTTTAAAAAAAATTGGCTTAGGGTTAACGTCTCTGTTATTTAAGTTAGGTAATTGTATTTCCAATAGTTTGTGAAATGTCTAAAAGCACTAAATAATTTCATTTCAAAACCTGATAAGACGTTAACCAATAATTTTACTGCATTTGCTTAGTCTCTTAGGCTACACTGTACTAGCCGTTAATAAGAAGACAAAGGTTGCAGAACAATTTAGTTCTACAATGCAGATTCGTTAAGAAGATGGTATAGTGATTCCTTTTGTCATTAGACAGTCGTCAGTTAATTGCATTCTAAATTCTTGGTTTCAAATGACGTTATAGATAGTCCCAACTCATTAATTTCTACGAATTCTAAGGAAATTTATTTGCTGATGATATTTCATATTTTCTATTATTTTTCTTAATCATACTTTCACTTTTCAGAATATAACCGTTAAAACTCTTGGGTATCCTAAAAACCTCGACATAATTGGAAGGTCTCAAACGACAGTAGAAAAAGATTATTATTAGATTGCGCTTGACTGAGAGGCAACATCCTTTCCAGAAACACCCTAAACATTTTTTTCACAAAGCACTCATCGGACCAGTCTTCTGCCAATATTCAGAAACTCGGTCATTCGACAAGAAAGGTGAGCAAAGTCTATTAATATTTGAAAAGGAAGATTTTGTGGTCCATGTTTGGAAAAATTCGTACGAGTACATTTGAAGGATAACATTCAATCAGAACATTTAAAGCTCATATGAAATCCCTGATGTTGCAACGTGCATGAGGGCTCCGTTGGGCACCAAAAAAGATCCTGTCAGGAAAGATGGATGGGACAAGAAGGCCTGGAAAACCGAAACTAATATGGGAAGATGGAGTGGCCCATGATGCCAGGACAATGCTAGATTTGAGAAACTGGAAGGCAGCGGTACACGACCGAAACAACTGACGTAGAATGATTTTGGAAACGATGACTAAATAATGGGCTGTAGCGTCTATGAAGTAAGTAATACTATACTAAACAATATGGATACTGGTGATTTTCCACACTTCTTTGTCATAAGTAATTGGGCTTGCATGGTTTTACACTTTATCATCTATTAAGGACTGATGGCAAAAATTCTTTTAATCAAGACCCGATTGAACTGGATCAAAACAAACCTTAGAAGGTGCTCTAAATAACCATAATTGAAAAATACTTCAATATTCCTTACAGCTTAATAACCGTTAAAAGTGATTAAATGTTGAACCATCTCCTCAGACAGTCGTTATTATGGAAGCCGTTCTCCGCCAGTCGGACTTTGTGTACTTAAGCATTGGAAACTCTGAAACTAACGGAACTTGTCAAAGACAGAGGATAGACAATGCGGCTAGAACGGGGAGGAAGAGAGGATTACCAATTCTAATAGCCCAGCTCTGACAGACTATTGTTCGTCAGCGAGCACCTTGCTACATTACCCAAACGCCACCACGGTCCTAATTCTTCTGGGTCATCATCTGTTCTCTCTCTAATGGCATCTGCGGTCGTCACATTTTTGGTAGATCGGTGAGGGTCATTATCTCTGTCAGGAAATAGATATTCACACATTTAGATAAATAAACGACCCATAAAAAGAATATAGAAACTGGCTAACTCATTATTCACAGAGTGAGCGTTCACAAAAAAAAAAGAAATAAGAATTTTTAAACTGGTGTAGATTTTAGAGAATTTGTTTTGTCTAAAAGAACATCTACAGTAATCAATCTATGTGGCATGTTCACAATTGCCTATTCATTCTTAGCAAAGGTACGCCAAACTGAATAAGTTAACTTGCCTACATGAATCTAAATTCGCTATAAGACTATACACGGCTTATCATCTAATGTATTTCCATAGTAACCTCTATATTACTCCAGAGTTATTACAGCATTAGGGCAGATATCGGTGAGAAATGATGTTATCAATAAACTTAGCGTGTTCAGAAAATTTCCATTCCTTATGAGATTAAGTAGTCCAATCACTTAGAATGGACTTCTTACACAGTAGCAACAGCTGATACAGGATTTAGGGAAGGAATTTTTTTAAAACAGTAACACTGGTAGAAAAAGAAACAGAAATATAAAATTATGTTTAAGTATTAATCGAATCTAATAAAAATAAATAACCGCAATTGCAGAAATGATAATGCTTTTAAAGGTAATGTTCTTGTATTTTTTTTTTGACATGTGCTTATATTTTAACTATAGATTTATTATATTTAACTATAGATGCATGATAATTTAAAAAGAGATATTGACCAATGAAGAATAATAAGGCTTAGCGACCCCAAAGTTTAATTTCTATATTCTTACATCCAATCCACACCCAGACATCCTTAATCCAACCCACCTTGAGTTTATTGAAGCAGAATTGGATATCCCACTCCAATTGACTCCTCCACCTAAAGCATTTCATCCTTCAGAAATATCCAATATCATTAATAGATTACCTAAACACATTATCCCAGATCACCAATTTGGATTCCGCACATCCCACTCCACTATTCAGCAATGCCATCGTGTGGTAGATGTAGTCTCCTCTGCATTGGAGCGCGGAATGTACTGCACGGGAGTCTTTCTCGACGTTGAACAGGCGTTTGATAGAGTCTGGCATCCGGGACTGATGTACAAACTCCGTGAATTCCTACAGCTGACATCCCAACCCAATCCAACACTGTCATCACCACCTATGCCGATGACACGTGTATCCTATCAGTTAATAACGATCCTTTAATTGGATCCCAAACTCTTCAATCACATATCACAAGCCTTGAAGAATGGTGTAAAAATTGGAGAATAAAAATAAATTTCAACAAATCCCATTAAATCACCTTTACCCTCCGTCGTAAACCTATGACCTCTTGTCCTACAGTATCCTTCAATAATACTCCACTTATTCCTGTTGAGCAAATCCGCTACTTAGGACTCCATCTTGACAAACGACTCAATTGGAACCCCCATACCAGACTGAAAAGAGCTAGAAACCGCCCGACGTTTTCGACTACTACAGCACATACTAGACAAAGAAAGCTTTCAATCAATTATAAACGACTTGTATATATGACAATAATAAGACCTATTTGGACTTACGGAATTGAGCTTTGGGGCTCCACTAAACCATCGAATTCCTCTCGTATCCAATCCTTACAATTCAAAATCCTTCGTAAAATCCTCAACGCTCCTTACTTTGTCACAAATAAAATCATCCATAAAGACCTTAATGTTCCATATGTTTCCGATCTGGCCCAATCCAGATACCTTTCCTTCCATAACAAACTGCAGAACCATCCGAATCCTCTCGTTTCAAACCTTGCTTCCTCCTCGATCCCTGATAACCCTCCGAGGCGTCTGAAAAGAAGATGGCCTCGGGATCTTCTAATATAGAACTTTAATTTGAGTTCTACCAATGGGTAGTTTCTCTTCATGTTGTACATGCCATGTTACCAATTTCTCATTTACTTATTTTATTCTCTATGTAATACAGTTGTAAATTCCATTAAAATAATTAAATATATATATATATATATATATATATATATATATATATATATATATATATATATATATATATATATATATATATATATATATATATATTCTTACATCCATCGAGTGCCGTCCAAAACCTAATCAGATCAGCCTTAACGCAATCTTCCCATCTTCGCTTCGAACTACCCCTCGGAACCTTGGTTGTCGGCATAGCGCATATTAACTTTTAGAAATTCTTTCGTTAGTAAGATGAGCGATTTTTACTTTTCTTAACTTAATCATCTCAATTATTTCGCCCGAGTACAGTTCTCGCAATTCACCGTTGTGTAACCGCCTAAATTCTTCGGATGACTCATCCTTTTTCGATCCGAATATTCTGTGTAATACTTTATTTTCAAAAACAACCAATGAATACACAAAATTATTTTTCTATATTGGTAGGAAGAAGAACGAAAATATATAAGAAAAAATATGTGAAACAAATTATAATAAAAGTAAAAAACAAATGTTAAAAAAAATCTGAACTGTATGCTATACTTAGTTATTTAGAATAAAAATATTTATATTAATTAATTTTTAATTTTCGCATGTTTATTTTTTACATTAAGAATGATTAGAAAGTTAATTATTTCCTCGTGTAATAAACTCAAGCTGGTTAAGAAACAAAACATCTTCTTTTTTAAAAAAATTATGTTTTTTGATTAAAGTTATCCTTCCCTAGGGATAGGATATGTGGAGGCTAGGGCCTTCAAATACAATACCACCCCACCGCTACAAAATAGGCTACGAAGCGAAAGAAGACCTCACGTTCTAGAGGTAAGCTGTAAAATCCGGCTTCCCTAACACTAGACTCCTCAACCTCACAACGTTCCCCGAAGTAATCCGGGGAAGAGGAACCTGGAGAACCCATTCATAGCACCATTTTCCTTTATTGTTCCCGACAGCTCTCCGGATCTAAGTCTATACGAGGCTTTCCTCCGGTTTTCCGCTGGATTCCCTTGTAAATTCTGCAATGGAATGGGATTCGACGATTCTTTTTATTTCCACTTTAACGGTATAACATTTATTTACTTCGACAGTTCTTCCTCTGGTGAGCAATATTTTCTTTTTTCAAAACAATTATACAAAATACAGATTAAAAAAATATAGATTTACGGGCTACCTAATTTTAAAAAACGACGGTATGAGCTATAATAATTATTAAGCCTGTAAAATCAATTATTTACTTTCAAAATGTTTCTATTTAGGGAATCCTCTATCACCACATATTGACCTTGGACTTTGATTATTTGATTCTATAAAAACCTTTTTTGGCACATTTGGTATTGATTCCAATGACCCGACCTAACTCTCTCTTATTTTTTAAAAATATTATCTGTTGAATGATGAGTATTCTCTGTTATTTAGCAAATCAACACAGTTGAGCAACTGTGCTATATTGCTGTAGTTCCATCTAGCAAGATGTTTTCCAAGTTTTATCATAATTCAGACAAGTTGTTCAATAGTTGATTAATGCTTCAAGAATTTGTGAGCTAAGTTTAATAAAAATCGGATATTCGAACATTTTATGAGAAAGGAAGGACGGAATTTGATCTCGGAGTTATTCATTTCAGCGAGAAAATGTCGTGTAGATTCTAGTACATACTGTTTGAAGGGTATAGAAGAGTGATAATTATATTACCTTTTATTGTAACTTAAATATGCTTTACTTTTCATAGTGAACGCACACACATCTCGGCCGAAACTTTGTAGAGGCAACAAAACCAATTAAAAACTCCAATTATTTTTTTGCAATACATTTTTAATTAATGATTGTTTTCACATATTTTATGCATGTTAAAATATACATTTTTCCTTAAATAGTTAAAAACTCGATCGTTTTAAAAATCATTTATTTTCAGGAAAGGCATGCAGTTTCTACATTTCAATTGATATATATTTTTTTAATTGGATTCCCTCACAAAATCTAGATAATTATCCAATCAATGCATGCGATTATCTCGCATTTAACTCTGATTTTAAATCTGATATTAATTTCTAATTTTAGAAATCAATTATTGATTTTTAAATTCAAAATGCGATTTTCAATTTTTTTTTTCTAGTAGAAGCATATTTCTTGATTTAGGAACTTTTCTCATTGTACAAATAGCGTATTTTGTGGGTAACGATGCATGTATTTACAATATGTCCCGGTTGTCAAAGATACACACTACGCCACTTATAATGGCAAGGTTTTTTTTTTTTTATGATTTATAGAAAATATACTTTAGAGGGGGGAGGGGGGAACGAGCGGGCTAACGTGAGTGTAAAATGGGTATTGCAACCGCGATAAACCGTAGATTACGAGTTCAAATTCGGTGCCGTGGGGTCTTTCATTTCTGGAATAATTCCCCGCCTCTCACTCCTGACTCAGAGAAAAAAACCCGTTTAGCCTAAACGGGAAGAAAGGTAAAAATAAAACATAAATAACACAAAAGTATTAACAATTAAATTAATTTGAAAAATCTTCGGAATCCTAATCTATTAAATGTATTTACAACGATTTTAATGAAATACAATGAATTTTATCTGATAGTTTTTAAAATGAAATGGTTGACATCAACAGCTGATAACTTGAAATATGTGTACGAATATATTAGTTATTTTTCTTTTATTTTATGTTTTCAATAAATTTGTCGTGAAATCCTCTGAGGTATAAATCTTCCTGAAACAATTTTAGCATAAGCCCTGGTTTTATCGTTTAAAGGTAGGTAATCCATTTCCGATACATTTTTTTTATTCATAATCTGTTGAATATTTCGGGTACTCCGATGAACCTAAATTATTCATAGGCCCTCGGAGATAAGAGCACAAGTACAAGGGAAGCATAAGATGGGTTTACTTTTCCACAGAGGTGAGCGTGGTTTTGAATAAGTTGAATTTATTATCAAAAGCAGATTACAATCTGAAAAGAGCTCTAAGCCACTAGCGGTATGGAAATATATTTAAGGAGGGCTCACTGGTTACCCTCACCTGTTGCTCATATCGATCCGCAGCCCCGCTAGCAGCTTTCTGTTAGGCAACGTCCGGAGCTCGTGGGATCTGCGAAGTAGAGGAGTCCAACTAGTTCGCGGTACAGACCTTTTTGTATCAAATTATTAACATTTCTTTAAAACTTGGTGAATGCCTTCCTTCATCTTATCGCATCTCCTTTATGGAGCACCACTCCTAACTAACATATCACCATAAACAGCAAAGAAGTTCCAACAATTTCAGAACGGTGTACTGAGAAAAATATTAAGATACACGACTTAACAAAAAATAAACACGAAAACGCCTACTACATACCAACTTCAAATTGCCGAAGGTGGACGATTTCATTACGCGTAGGCATATAAAATTCTCTGATAGAGTCAAATAATCCACAAACACACTTTTTAAGACACTTATTCCACTTACTCATAAACCTATCTCTAAAAAATCGGTGATGATTTTAATAGTAATAAAAAACATTGAAACTTAAATAGGTTCTCTTTGGGAATAAATTGAACTTCAAGGATCAAGTTTTTTTTTTTTTTGTAACAAAAACACATTGATTTGGGGTTTGGTCTGGAAAGAAAAATTGTACATAGGGTAAAAATTTTATTAAATATTTCGAGCGTCATTACTATTCGTATTTAAAAAAAAAAGTTTTTGAAAATATATATAATTTTACACCAATTATTTAAATACTGAAGTTATATTTATTTAAAAAAAAAATACACCATCGGATTTGTTTTCAGTTACAAATTTCTCCTTATCTCCAATTTTTTCCAAAAAAAAAAAAAAAAAATGGGGTTCATTTTGAAAATAAACGACTCATTTACTTAATTTTAATAAATATTTAATGTAATTTTAAGTAAGTGTTAACGTATTATATGTAAATTCAGTTGGCTATATATTCAACTGAACATCAGCAACAATAAATATGACTAGAAAAATAGACAATCATCATGATACACAGAATATATTTTTTCTGTTCACTTTTCCTAATTTTGGTGTCTTGAAGTTGAAGTCTCTCCATAAATGACGTGGGCTAAGCCCCTATATAACATGACAAGTTAATGTTCACTGAACATATTAATTACAACATTAATGATGTACATATAACGGAGGACTAATCAAGATTTGAAAATGACCCTTATTAAGGTCGAAACGTCACATTAATGCGTATCAATAAAATTTTGGTGAAAATTGGCCTAATTTATTGTAAAAAATAAAAAATATATATTTTTATTTTTTTTATTTAGGAGGCTCTAAAAATAAATCAGCTCAGAGCCATAGTTTGTTTAGGTACGCCAATAGGTCCAAGATACACGAAATCTTGACTTCTAAACTCGGAATAAACTAGGATTACAGATTAATAAAGTGTAGAGAACAAATCCTTCCTGCCCTTGTTAAAGTATAAAAGGAATTTAAACCTATAAATAATATCAAATTATATAAAATAAATAAATAATGTATTATTGAACAGTTATCAAAGTAGGGAGAGCTGGCTGACATGTTAACACCATGACTCAATACTCTCCGCTAAGCCTCTGGCATACATTATTTAAAATTCCGGCCAGCGGGACAGGTGGATCAAACGGTAGTGACAGAGGATCATTGTCGGCCATGACAGAGTAATCCACAAGTGAATAGCTGTCGGCTGCGTTGGAAGCTCACGTAGCGGCCATATTTCTATGGAGATATTTCCACCCTGTCCGCTCCTGGAAGCCCCTCCGGCCTCCATTTTCTGATAACTTAAAAACATATTTAAGGCCTGATAAAGTGTGGAGAGCTGTTACAGCTCACAATTTATGGAGGTTTGGCCCTGGTAGCGACATCATTTGTAGTAGTTTCCTTTTATATTATTTTTTGCCTCTCGATTTTGGCACGTATTCAGAGCAAATAAATTATAAGCATATAAATTATAATGGCAAGTATAAAACCTAAAAGAAAAGAAGATATCTTAAAAAAATATCTTGTGTGTCCACTCACACGACTTTTATACCTATTTCAGAAAAGTTTTTATATATTTACATATGTTCACGAAGAAACAGAAAATAATTTGACTAGATTTATTTTTCTGAAAATCGATCAAACAAAAGATTTGAGTACGATTTATTTGATAAACTAAAGCAACGTAAACCGGCAGTGTAAAAAATTCAATACTCACTAATATTGCTGATCGAAAACTTTTTGCCATAGTTTGTATTGTCAAACAACAGATATGCAGGCAACATATTTTCTTACTTTCACTTAGTCATCTTTATTCTCTCATTCACCCCTTTCTGACACCAGGATATGAACCCGTAATCTTACATTGGAAATTGAATAGCTGTAACATCGTTAATAGTTGTCCAAAATGAACGATTTTTGTAGGGAATTTCATTACCTTTCAAACTAAACGTTGTTTAGGTCCCTTAACATTTCTCTTTTCTTTATAACTTTTTTTCCTGAATTTTTTGGGGAATAAAGTCTATATACGAAAATTGAAAGGATAATGATTAGAACATTAAAAGCAAGTTTCGTCAAAACCTTTAGAGCCGTTTTCGCGCTACAGTCCATAGAAAAACATGTTTTTCATTTATTGCGCATGGAGGACCGAATTTCTGTCACAGGCACAGTAGTCAAAACCCTACAAAATAAAATAAGAAGCAACAAAATCGGTTCTGTAGTTCTCGAGAAAATCTTGGCACAGACAGACAGACCAATGGCTAAAAATGTGTTTTTCGGACTCAGGGGACTCTGAAACGTACAGATCCGTCAAAAACCACATATCGGAAATTTGACCCGATTGCAATACTTTCCTTACCTAGTATAGGTAGAAAATTAAAAAAATAGATATTTAGAAATTTCGACATACGAAAAAATACATGGAATAAATGAATAATTCTCTTTCAGAAACTT